CCTCACCAATGACAAGATCGAGCTACCACCTATTAAAGATCAGGAGGGAGCTAAGAGAGTTACGGATCCAAACTACTGTACGTACCACAGAAGGGTTCTTCATCCCACCGAGATTTTCTTCGGACTCAAAAACAAAATCCAAGCCTTAATTGACTCCGGTGTCATAATGGCGAAACAAGCCAAATAAAAATGACGCTTTACTCCATTGGATACACGAGTATAAACTGTTTTCCTTTACTCCATTGGATACACGAGTATAAACTGTTCTCCTTAACTCCACTGGGTGCACGAGTATAAACTGTTTTCCCTCACTCCAAAGAGTATACGAGTATAAACTGCTTCTCAACACTCCGAAGAGTATACGAGTATAAACTGCTTCTCTAAGTGTAGATCCCACTTTGAGTTTCTTTTGCACCAGGAGATAGAATGTAAAATTCTTCCTCTCCGATTTCGGGTTCATCTCTACCAACAAACAAGAGACCAGGAGATAGAATATAAAATTCTTCCTCTACATCATCGGGTTCATCTCTACCAACAAACAAGAGATCAGGAGATAGAATATAAAATTCTTCCTCTCCGATTTCGGGTTCATCTCTACCAACAAAAAAGAGACCAGGAGATAGAATATAATATTCTTCCTCTCCATCATTGGGTTCATCTCTACCAACAAAAAAGAGACCATATTACTCCAATAGGTACACGAGTCTAAACTGTTTCCTTACCCTCAACAGGAAGTTTCTGGATAATATTAATCTGAATATTCTTAAGGATAACCTAACGAACTCACAAGGGACATACAAGCATCAATATGGAAATACCAGCCTCGATTCAGAATCTCAACAACGGTCCAGCGATAAACGCAGTGCCGGAGAAGCATTAGCTATTCTACAAAGAACTGAATAGACTAATGAATGAAGAGATCAAGAGCCGAAGCCATTTTATGGATTCCTCTCCACGATCTACTCAATCAAGCATTAAAGGGATTGCAGATAAGATCTGTCTTATCCAAAGTATCCCCAGAGCTCCTCTATAAAAGATTGAGTCTGGAATACTTTGGAGGGGGTATCTGTAGGCGTCAAAAAATGTTGAGAGATATCCGAATACAGCTCAAAAAGGCAGAAGAACACAAGTTTGGGATGTCTCGCATGCGAGACAGTCTTTACTGTCTCGCCAGGCGAGACAGCATTCTCTGTCTCGCAGGCGAGACAGTCTTTACTGTCTCGCCAGGCGAGACAGCATTCTCTGTCGCCCGCGAGACAGTATTCTCTGTCTCGCCCACGAGACAGTTCTCAAAGGCTCAGAAGTTGTTTTATAAACTGCCGACACGTGGCCACCAACTGTTCAAGAACGTGGGGAACGTTGTGGGTGAGAATCACGTTGATAACTGCCAAAATAACGGAGTTTTAAGATGTGGGGAGAAGTTACAAGAAAACCACCAGGCAGTTGGTAATTTCCGAGACAACATTCACTGTCTCGGAACCCGAGACAATCTTTGCTGTCTCGGCCGCCGAGACAGCAAACACTGTCTCGGAAGGGCAGTTTGTCCTAGGGGCTATAAATACCCCCCCTGAGGTCGATTTTTGAGAGAGGCTGATGATTTGGAACACTTTGGAGCAGAGAGAGCAGAGTTACTGAGCTTTTGGCAATTCCTTGAGATTCGAGCTTTGACTTGATCTTAAGAAGAACGACTATCTTATTTTGATAAGATATCGTTTTAAATTCTTACTTCGATAAACGAAGGAAGAATCATTAAACCCCTCACGATTCAATCAGAATCTGTGATTTGGTGGTCCACGAGTCAAAGCGCTCCCGGCACAGGCAAAGATCCCACGCAAGCAGTGATCCAAACAACGATCCTGCGTTTGTTTCTCAAGAGTTGTAATTTTCTTTTTGTTGTGTAAGAGAAGTCTTAAAAAAGACTATTTCTTTTCAATTTGTTGTAATCGACCGAAGATATGATGAATTCCACAGCGAGATCAACTTTTGACGAAAACAATAATAACTCCGCCCCTCTGAAAGGAGGCCATAGGCTTGTATTTATAGGGCTTCGGAAGCGGTTATTTGGATGAGAACAAGTGATTTGGCCTTATCTTTAGTCAATAACGGCCTAACCATGTTTGTAGATGATATCAAGTCAGTTGGGAACCTCTGGAACTGAAAAGATCTCAAGAAAACCATTACGCAAACAGCAGGCGGGCTCCTCTATTCTTGCTCAGAAAGCTATGGAGGGTGGAGTTTCTACTACTCCCATCCCAAAGACTCCTCAGGCCGAATTAGCAGATGTCTTTGTTGTCGACGACAATTCCCCCGTGCACGCCAAAAGGGACGACATGGTTGTGGCTGAGCCTGAAGTGGTTCATCTCAAGCCAATTAGGAGATGGCCACCCAAGGCCAAGTGAAAGGAGCAAGCATTGTATCACTTAAGTATCATAAAGCCTTCTTGTAGTGGCACTTATATACATTGAATTGTCTTTTATAGCAAACTAGTATGCCACACATGCGTTGTATGTGTTGTTTATGAAATTATTAGTAAATAGTATATTCTATATTATTGATTCTTAAATATGCACTTACAATATAATGTTCACTTATGGTATATTAACTCTCAATATATCAAGCACGAACCTTGCAAAGGCCACTAAAAGAAAATATTAATATTAAATGTCTAGTATCTTTTTGGAATAGCAAAAAAGTATTATTAGATGTAAAATTACAAAAGCTAAAATAGCATGATGGAATCACAAACGATATAAAGATATAATCACAACCGATATAAAGATATTTTTTGAATAGCTCAGCTCATGGGATTTGTGTAGGTCAATTTTTTAATACAATAGAGAATCTCAATATAGAGATAAATTAATCTAGACTTCTTATAATAAATCAAAACTTTTTTACAATTCAGTCAAATATGTTATATATGGGTTTGTGTATTCTAATTTACTCAATGAATAGAAGATAAATAGCCAATTTGTTTTATTAATTAATTTTTGTTGCTTAGAGTTGAGAGGAACAAAGAACTTATTAGTGATCAATAAAGAAGACAAACAAATCTTGATGATTCAACATAATTATTAACTAAGGAACATAGAAGATGGTTAATAGACATAAGAAAATCAAAAGAACAAGAAATATTAAAATCATTGGACAAGTTGATTGCACCTCCGAACTTAAAGTGCATATGAACTGAGTAATTAATTGAGAATTAAACCATGAATATATCTAATGAACAAAAAAGCACAATTTATGACCTATATTCAAAAGAAAAAACACAACTTATGATAAATGGCACAAAAACCTCTTTACGACATTGTACGAGGGGATAAAAAGTTTTTAAATAGCTTTGCATAAACTCCAAAAATAAGATCATATATTCGTTCTATGTATTAAAAGATAGTAAGAATCCTACCTAATCCATGGTTACATACTAAAAACAATCTTTTATTCCCAAATAAAATTTATACATACTCTTAAATATCAAGACTTCCAAATAATAACTTTCCTATAATCTATTATCATTCTTTTTTAAGGATTTATGAAAAAAAAACACAAATCAAGAGCTACGAATTGAACATGAGCTATAATCTTCAACTCCATAAAAAAAAAATCTCTAAGTCTACAAACCATTTGACAAATCTTATCCATTGTATGCACATGCACATACATAGACAAGCCATGTACACTATAAACCATTTGAATGTCTTTCCTGCTTTGAATTTTCCAGGTCGATATAACATATTTCATACATCATTATGTTGGTGTGAGAATTTTACTTAGTAGATGATATGGTGGGTTAAAGAGAATGGATGGTCGTAATTTATAATGTAGAGATGAAAAAAAGGTTATGTAAAGGAAAAATAAAAGAATGGCTAGTTACTTAGATCTATAACATATGCATTTAATTAAATAAGTTATGGAGTATTTAAGAGCCTAAGATAATAATTAAATCTTCTTATTATGATGATTTGCAATTGATTTAATATAAGACTTGTTGAATGAGACTTTGAGATAAATTAAACAGATAAAATAATAAAGTAAAAGCTAGAATGATCAAATTTAAGAGGGGTAAAAAGGACAATCAAAAGTTTTAGCACCTCAATCCTCTTTTATATGTGGTATAGATATAGATAAATATCATAAGTTGTTTAAAATTGGCATATTAGTAACCTCAATCATGCAAACGTGAAAAATTTCACCTGAATGTTTCTTTACTATACTTACATGCTAATTTTAGAAATTTGAATTGTTAATATTTATTAAATTCGCAATTAAATTTATCAGAATTCTTTTTTCAACTTATCTTAAGTCTACTTTAAAATAGAGTTATAATATATTCAATGCTAAATTAACAAATATTAATGGTTCGAAAGTTATAAAATCAATAAGTTAGTATCAAATTGGAATATTCACGTGAAAATTTTCATGTTTACATAATGAAGGATACTAATGTGCCAATGTTAAATAAGTTATGGTATTTATTGCCAAAAAAAAAAGCTCATGGTGTACAAGTGCCAAAAAGGAAAAGCTTTATAGTATTTAGGTGCCATTTAGCCTAATATTAAAGATGAGTAAACTTTGTATTTTTGGGGAACATTTATAACTACATATCCTTGTAAGTAAATGGGGATAAAGCTTTGGGTTTATTTAAAAAAGCCCGTAAAAAATATCATGTAGTGTTGACCATCCTCTGATCCACAAGCAACAACCATTGCAGGCTTAAGAATCATCATCATGCTCGTCATCATCATCCTCATCTTATTTATCTCCAACTCTCTCTCCACTGTCCTATGCTGTTAGTGCGCAATTTTATGCGGCGCTGCCTTTCTATTGAGAAACTATGGCATCATTTAACGGTCGCCACCTCTGTCTCCTCCCCCTCTTCCTTCTAGCAGCAGCAGCAGCATCCTCCTCTTCTTCAGCAATCAACAACAACAACAACAACAACAACGAGATCCAAAGTGGCTTTTATGCAACCCCGGACACGTCATCCTCGTTAAAATTCCCTCCCCTCCCCTCCCTTCCCCTGGTCCCCCTCCGCCTCCCTCTCCTTCAACGGCTCATCCCTCCTCCTCTCCGACCCCACAGAAAGATCGCTTCTTTGGTCGGCGACGATTACGCGCCCTAATAATGTAACCGAAGACGGCTATAACCTTGTCCTCCTCAATTCCTCCAATCTCCAAATCATTGGAAAAACCCATCAACAAATTCTATGGCAGAGCTTCGACTTCCCTTCAGACACCATCGTCGAGCACCAAAACCTCACCTCAAAGTCCACTCTTTTCTCCGCGGACCGGCGCTTCTCCTCGAGACTGGGCCCCACTTACCTCGCGCTCTACATCCAGAACCTCGGAATGTACTGGAAACGCACGGCTCTGCAGGCCAAGGCCCGGATTGACTTCGCCCAAGGCCCAATCTACGCTCGCCTCGACCCGACTGGATTCTTGGGCCTCTATCAAAACGAGACCGCCATCGTCGACGTCGTCTCCTTCGACACCTTCAACGCCGGAGTCAAGAAGACCCTCCGCCGATTAACCCTAGAACCAGACGGCAATCTCAAGGCTTACTATTGGAGCGGGTCGAATTGGGTTTCGGATTTCGCGGCCATTTCTCAAACCTGCGATCTCCCGGCCGCCTGTGGGCCCTACGGCCTTTGCCACGTGGAGGGAGAGCTGCTCGGGTTTGTGGAGGTTGAGTCGTCGCAGAAATGCGAGGGGTTATGTGAAAATAATTGTAGTTGCTGGGGGGCCTTGTACAATAATGTTTCTGGGTATTGTTACATGTTACACGATCGAGTATCCGATACAGACGGTGCTGGCAGTGGGAGATGAGAGAAAAATAGGTTATTTTAAGGTGAGGAATTTAGGAGGAGGAAATGAAGGGAGGAAAATAGCCGGGTTGGTTTTGATAGTTGTTGGGGCGTTGGCCTTTGTGGCCGGTTGCGGGTTTACGGGTTATCGGGTTTGGAATGCGAGGAGGTGGAGGGGGAGCCACGAGGATGAAGTTGGGATGATGTCGTATAAGGATCTGAAGTCGAGTTCATGGATTGAAATGTCTTCTGATTCGTTTAGAAAATGAGTTTTATATATGTTGATTTGAGACTTTGCGAGGAGCCTAGTTTAGTACTTTAGAGTGTAAGGTTTATTAATTTTTGTGCTTAAACCTGAGCTGCTAACAGCGTGAATTTGGGAGAGCTTACTAATTCAAACAATATATACATAGCTCTATCCTTATTGTATAAACTGTATTTAAGTTAATTTTCAATGGAGAACAATTACAGTTGAAGTGAGAGAAGTGAGCGTCTCATCTAATAATGACCCAAAGTTAAGGGCAGTTCTCTGATAGTTAGCCTTAAAAGGCAGCCAATTAGGGATCGATTTAGTAGTGTCACGTTCTCGATTATGCCTCTGAATTTGGGCAATAATAGGTCCAAATAATTTCTTCAGAATAAATCCACTCTTACAGGGTTTCGGATTGCCGATTGCCACACTAGGGGACCTAAGCAATAATACGAATTGTGAGGGAGATTGTAGAATATATAGAGAGGTATTTGGACACAAAATTCATGATTGTTATGGATTCTTTCAATGTCTGCTTCACTAGGTAATATCTTCTTTACCTAGGGATTTTTTATATATCTTTACCTTCATTTTCATTTTTGACTAGAATGCTGAACTTTTGGCAGTAGGAGGATGATTTGAAATGCGAAATTCTGAAAGCTAGAAATAATTGTGAAATGTCACATGAAAATTAAACTATGTCCAAATTTTCAAAGCAGCATTAACCTTCAAGTTGAAATATTGACGGAAACCAACTCCATAGTTTGATTGAACACATTCCACGAACTGTCTTACCTATGTGCACAGTGCAATGACAAAATTGTATCCAAATTTTTGTTTGCATATATGTTATATATGTTATGTATCTATTATCTTGAAAAGTAACGAAACGTTAGTCTGAGATGAATGTAAGTTATTTTATGTCGGTTTTGGTGGAAATTTAGGTTTCGACTGTATTCAGCCCTGGATCTAGCCAAGGAGAACTGTTGAGGTAATATATACTGCTCAAGAGGAGAGATTGATGCATGAATTTGATTCTAGATATGTACATACTGGACACTGTCCATACTGGACATGACACTTTCTTAGACACTCCTTCAGTATATAAAAACACACTCAAATGTGCACTCAAGTAAATAATACATGTTTGAATTAAAAAAGCCACCCTCATATGGTTCTTAGACGTATATTCTACACTTACTCTTCTTGGAACTTGTTGGACGCATCTCAAGTTTGTTTTCACAGCGCATCCCAATATAGAGCTACAATACTAAAGGATATTTGGTAACAAGCGACTTTCTAATTTATAATACTACAGTAAAACTATAATAGAAACATAAAACTAAACAAATATGAAAATGTTATAGAAATTTAAGTCTCATAAAATGTGAGTTGAACAATAATATTGATCTCATGTATATTACTAATTTCAATGCACACGCGCTTGCACACGAATATAATCATGCCCTATACCCTACCTTCGATAAAATTCTCGTACCTCATACCTTACCTGCATCCATACCCGTGCACATACTCAATGTAACATGGTATCCTAGAGATATTGATCTCTACTCTTTTCAAGTTCGTAATGTCAATGCTTATGATATTCACGTTGAAACTTTTTTGAGTAGTGGTATTCATATTGAAATGAAGTTCTTTAGTCAGATGGAGAAGCTCTTGGGATATGTTACAGTCGGTTGTTTTTATTAAGTTGTTCCTTGTAATGTACCAATTCAGGCCTTCCGAAGCTTGATGAAAGAAGAACTTCAGCAAGACATACTGCCAGTGGCAGAAGAATGCTGCAGATTTTTAACATTGGTTTACTTACGTTGTAACATTTACCTGTCAAAGACCACACACAAACTGCTTCAGGCTTTTGCTTCCAGCGACTGTCGAGTGTGCTGGATTTCACTCGAAAACTTCGAGGTGACTCTCCTCATATACCAATAGAGTAAATCAGGTAAGAATCTGGTTCTCCACATTTTATGGTTATTTACAGTCTGGTTATACTAAGGAATTCTATATTATAATCATATAATATGTTCAGATTCTACTTTTTACAAGCAGTTGTGCGGAATTAAATTTAACAATCTCAGCTCAGTAGCTATTTTGATTATGTGATTTAAAAAGAGTTCTTTCATCAGTTTTTTTAACGCATCTTCGAACGTTGTTAGATAGCCTTGGTTATGAACATGTAACAGATCTATAGAATCTTTCAGATAACGCTTGGCAATCCATGCTTCGAGAACTATCTAACGAAGAATACGAAACAAAAGGAAATGTGGTGTTCGTTTGGTGTTCTTTAAACGGATTGTACTATTCCATTGCCAGAAGTTAAAAACAGCAGAGCGGATGGGATCTTTAGATCTTGATGCTGGCGGCATGAGTTTTGTGCTCAGCCTGTGATATTGAGCGGTGGGCAGTGATAAGAGTTTTAGAGTAAGTTAACGGGCATTTTACTTAAAGTTATACCGGATTGTACCGATACAAAGCACGCGACCTCTGATCTACTCGTTATTGTAATTGCGACGGTTAGAAAAAGGAAAAAACCTATGACAGGTTCTATATATTCATTCAGGATATTAATTAACATGTGTTTTTCTTCTATTTATGTTGATTACGTACTGGTATAAGCATGCTACCTCTGATCTAGTCGTTACTGTAATTGCGAAAATTAGAAAAAAACATAACCAAGTACAATTTCTATTCATTGAGGAACTTAACATGTATTTTACTTCAACTTATATTGGTTGTCATTTAAGCATGCCGCCTGTGTTGGTAAACTGCAAAATTGAAAAGGAGAGAAGCCAAGTGCATGTTCCCGCCATTTAGAAACAGGATGTATTGTGCGCGATTCAACTTATAGATAAGTTAGGCAAGT